AAACTTGTGTGGACCTTTGAGGCTGTATAGACATGCATAGCACTTAGATATTCACAAGGTAATGAGGAGGTGAGAAGAAGACATTCGGCTCTTGTTTGTCTGCTGCAGGGTTGAAACCAAGTGAGTAGGGACTTCGAACTCGGAAACATTTATTTGATTTGATTTATTTTATTGAGGACACACTGGAGGTTGCCTGCCTCATAAAGAGAAAACTAAAGTTTACAATGATGCCACTTGCCCAAATCTACCCCAGTAGCTAATAAAAATGACCCTAAAATTATTTTATTCCATTTGATTTAAGGCTTTGGGTCTTCATTGCGATATCTACAGAGTGGCCGAAAAGTGGTTTTCTTTCAATGTCGGGAAAGTAATGGGTTAGAATATAATCGTGGATAAAAATTTAATGACAATATGCTAAAATGTCAATAAGGAATTGCTACTGTGCTACGCAAAACCAAAATCAGTGGCTGTCATTCCCTCAACGCTCTTTGACGCCTCATTCATTTACCTCATTCGCATCACTAGATTATCGAATTAGAAGCCAAGTAAAACATAAAAGGGATCTGTCTTTTCATATAAACGTCTGCCATTCTGATTATTTAGCCCCTTTCCCTCAAGAAATATCTCCTCAGACCAAAAGCACATCACGCCAGCCCTGCAATCCATTTGTAAGTTTTCTAATCGACTGCATGTAACCCTCAGTCATCGACTGTAGGAACTGGAAGTTGTCGATTCTGCAGCAGGACTGCGCAGAATTACTATTTCAAGGAAGGCTGTGTCCACAGCAAGGAAGGCAGTGCCAGGCGAAATCAATGCCTGGGGACCATCATTGTGTGGTTTATCCATCATGCTGGCAACTGGGCGAACGTCAGTGTCCTTCGAGTAAGAAGTCTATTTGAGTTACCGAGTTGATCTTATTGCATGCCACTGACAGAATGCGTATTCAGACCAACATGAAATTCCACCAGCAATCAACACAACGGTAACTGCTGCCATATTAGATGCGCCAAATTAACGTAAAATGGGGGCGGATTGAAGGCTTTTATTTTAGCATTTGTTAATGCGAACCTCATCTTCAGTTTATCAATGACTCTACCTCTATTTCTATCTTCTCCTATCGTCCACCTTCGACTATAGGCAAATGACCTATTAGCACATCATGTTTTGAGCTTAAAATTGCGCATTTTCTATTATCATACCTTAATTACACTGCTGTAAATATTCATTCTCACTTCTTTACACCTCATCGCCCATAAATCCTTTCGGCTCCAGGCACTAATCACACCATCCAGGTAGAGAACACTCTTATCATAATAATTAGCACACAGGTGAGATGGCAATGCCGACAATGGCATATAGAATTTGGTTAGTACAAGACCTATTCACGTGACACACCAAACCATTGTCAGTCTTCTATCTCGCTGATAATGCTTACAATTGCAATAACGATACCACAGATTCAACAATCTGCAGTTCTTAAATCGACAACAACTGCCTTCGCTAATTTTGCGACCACTCTTTCCTCTCATTGCCTCCCCGCACATGTTGCTGAGTATCCGTTGTGAATCGGCCTTACCTGCTGAGGCTGTCGAGGTGTTCATAGCCGCGCAGAAAGTAAAGCGCACCTCTGAGATGCAGAGCATGTGCCTACGATATGTGGTGGGTGTAAAACTACTTTATTATTTAGTTAAGGCATGGGTCTGATCAACTATATATATCATGTGGAAGAGTTACCAGGAAAGCAAATGCGAAAATGCGTGCCCTAGTAGAAATACGGATATAAGAGTTGCCTTGGACCAGAATAAGACGCCTTGATTGCCTGCTCCAACATTGCAGTGGCGCTGGTCGAGAGATTAAATTAAATAATGTCTGCCTGTTCCAGAATAACTTCACCAAACCTTGGGTGTGGTTGACGTAGGTTCCTTTCAGACGGTGATAGCATAACGCGATTCAGCCTTGTAGCAATCATTCCATGCAAGCATTATTGAGTGGAGTTTGCAATAACTTAAGCGATTTTCGCATTTTAGAGTTTTGAATCTTCCTTGTGGCCGTAACCAGCCAAAACATTGGCTTTTCACCCAGACTTTTGCTAGAATATGTGGCAGTATTTTCAATTGTGTCTATTAGTGCTAACAGGAATTTGGGGCAAATTTAAAATGTTGATATACTGTTTAAGGAGTAGATTTGATATTTGAACGAGGAAGAACTTTGACTTCAAAAGCAGCAGCAGGAGCGTACAGGAGGGCTGGTTGTGAGCCACACCCAAAGCGGCAAATCGATCAGAGGTGGTCGGCCGGTCGGTCAGTCAGTCGATGCAAACCAATCGTAGGCATGAACGGAGATCTGGTACTTGGCGTTCTTTCCCCAGTAAACATATTCGGTCATCCTCATCTCTATGTAAGCCAACACTAATGTATGCATTTTCACTTTTTAGGTAGTCTTTTGAGTTGGCAGTCCAGTACTTCTCGCTCTAACCAGCCCAACTTTCCTCCATTCGTGCTGACGGTGATGGAGTCTGGGATCAGCAGCTGCAACGCGAGCGACGTGATCCAAGAAGCACAAGTAAAGCTTCAAGAGCAATGCCAAAAAAGCAATTTTTGCCGCACTCGTGGTGACCGATATTTCTGCATCCAAGGTGAAGGTTTCAATGCCTGTCCAATGCTGAGATGAAGAGAAGCCACGGTGTACGCCTTTAAGGATAAGATATTCTGGAGAGCCTTTAATTTGTGTTTGCTGCTTTTGAATGCATTAAACCTTCCATGAATGTCTGGAGGTTAATCGCTCATTTGTGATTTATAGAAATAAGTTCTGGGTGTAGGTAGTCTTTGCTAGTTCAGTTGATAATCAATAATCACAGTAACTTCATCAGGGCAACCGCGCAATCACTTAACGAGAATGCAAGTTTTGGCGATTATCATAGAGGTTTTTAATTAACCGCAAATGTCATGGGAAACATCTTTTGTAATGTACTCTTGAGGTTCCTGAGCACGCCTCAGCAATCACGATGCCTACTTCACAGCCGTTGGGCTCGAATGCAAGATAACCACCAGATCTCCATCCACACATGCGACAGACCTGTGTTGAGTCAGTAATCACGAAGCATATTTAGAGGCCAACGCTCGTAAACACTCATGCTGCTGCCACTGCTCAGTCTGTGAGTGTCTGTGTGCGTATCTTGGCAGGAATGTAGCTTCTCCTGCTTCCCAGTTATGTGGAATTTTTTTAAAAGGTGGAATTAATTTCTTAAAAACGAGTGACTGATTTGTGTTCAGTGCTTATTCCTAAAATATTATGCAGCAAATCATGGAAAAGATAACGCTTTCGGGTGGTGGATTACTTGCGTCGAAATAGCTGGAACTCATTTTCACATTTACACTATCCTAATCTCATTTACGGCATGATCTAAACCCTGTCAAGAAAACGACCTTATTTAACAAATAATTCCTTCTAACATCCTAATGCAATTAATTTTTGCAAATCACTTTTTTCGGTAAGTAAAGTTTGAAAATAGTATATTCTGGGCAAATAAATTTCGGCTATTGGCCTTCTTTGTGGAGCAAAACCATGGTCATGTTGTTGAAGCAGCCTATTTTTCCGACTTTGATAGTTATTGTCACATCGTGACATCATAGTTAAATAATAATCGAGGCAAGAGGAAGGATTCTTTTCAAAAAATGCACCAAAATATTAATGATCATTACAAAATGATTGGACTTGAAAGTAGCCAAATAAATTGTGATTACCGAAGACTAGCTCCAATTAAATTGCATCCGGTCGGCAGTTGTATAGAAATAAAGAATGTTACATTAACGAGGGTAAGTAATTGCTTAAAAAATCACCTGATCACGTGGTAGAACTTGATTTAGACCCGCACCAAGTGATTGTCTCATCAAGCGCTATCCAAATGCTCAGTGTTCAATTTGGGTCTAATGTTGTCATGAACACCGCGGGCTTGTCTATCGTCTCTGATCAGTCGATGGAGACTTCGTTTATTCATTGTTGATTTCACAATCCTGATATTCAGTGGGTGAATTCTAAAGAAGACGATACAGCAATATTTATCTCCCCTCCAGCATATTTCTCTACCTCGGGTCACAGTTGGCATAACCGCGGGGATGGCCATTGGGAATTTGCTGGAATTCGAGGAGTTTAAGACAGTAGACAGTAATTAGGAGGACAAGGGTTTCTATAACAATGATGATGTAGACCTGCGGATCAGAAAATAAGGCCACTCGTCAGCCTGAGCACACTGATTTGAATGGGATTTTGTGAGATTTAAAGTGGATATGGAGTTCTATAAGTTCAACTTGCCTGTGAACGAGGAGACGGTGCACATCCATCATTACCAGTAGAAGAATGAACAGCTGCATAGAGGTGAGAAAAGAAGCAGCATTACTTAAATAAAGAGAGGACACTCAGCAGGGCAAAATTTGACACAGATGGACCAATGTCCCCTGTGGATAGCAATACAAAACTCGGTGTATTTTATTAAAAAATAGAGCGAGTGAGAAACAGGTGGAATGTACTTAAGTAACATGAAAATTTCCTGCCGAAATAGGAAATTCGTGCAATTAAAGGTAGATGCAAAATGAAAAAATCAACTTAATAGTGCATAAAATTCTTGCATCGGCTATCTTAGATGCCTTTATGGTTTCCTCTTCTTTCAAAAAAACAATCACTCGGAACCTCTTTGAAGCATCTATTCTGACAATCTAAATGTTGTTTAAGTGTAAAATGCAACCCATGAATAAATAATGACATCATACAACCAATGCTGGAGAGAAATCCTGTGAAGCTCCTAAACGAAAAT